TTCGTTTACCAACAAGTCAGTCAGTCAGTATACTTCATTCTTTTAACCAAACTTTTCTTTTTTTATATTTTGATTTCTGTGTATGCCACAATAAATCATTATTACTATTTGAAAAACAAGAAGTTGATGTGATCATTTCTGCCATCATTCAATTTTCTTCGTTTTCAAGTGATGAAAAAGATAGGAATAAAACATGATTATTATAAATAGTAGTGAATAGACTAAGACAAGGAAGAGGTGGTGCATGGAAAGGATGAAAGGAGAGAGAGAGAGAGCAAATATACACCGCCAGGAAACAACATAACAATTGCAGTAAACAGGTCACTACAGATTGTCGTATCATATCAATATTTACCATCCACTCGACGGTTCGCTTCCAAAGATATTGATATCATTTTTATTAGAGTTGTTTTTTCTCTCTTTTAATTTATTTATACCAAAGAGAAATAGTGAGAAAAAGAACTTTATATTCAGATATAAAACAAAAAATATTCAACATTATGTTTATGATGATCATATCCGAAGTGTTTTATTAATATACAACGTTTTAAGAAACATCTTGTTGATTCGTCTATTCAACTTATCAGAGAAAGGCTGAATAAAATAATATTACCATAGGAGTGGCACACGAGAAAACTGTCTCCATAACAGACAAGTCGACTTTAAAAAACCTGTTGTTTCAGAGTTCTCAATGACACTCTTTGTTTCGGCTAATTCATTAAGTAGATTTAAAATGATCGAAAGTAGGATTTTCACAAATTCATAATGCTTAAAAATAATTTAACAGTTTTTATCTTTAAAGATATTTGAATTGATTATTGTTTTTAAAAATGTACAGACTCCATTGTAAAAACAAAAAATTACTCCAGTTGTATATCCAAATTGTTGAATTAGAGTTTGAAATTCAACATTTTTAATTTTTTGAATTATATATCTCAGAAAAGAGACAAAAAAATTTTCCGGAAAAAGCCATTTTGTCGAGCTTGAAATAATAATCAAACTTCGAAGTTTAACAAATTTTAGAAATGTAAAGACTTCAAAAGGAATGAATGAAATTATTTAGGTCATTCCACAAATATTGTTAACTTGAGACACCTTTGTTTTTAATGTCACAATAATGACATATAGCAGAAAGAGAAAGTGATTTAAATGCATTTCGCTACATAGAAGTACTAACGTTGGACACATTAACAATCATTGTACGAAAAATTGATCTCCCTTTATCTTACTATGGGTATTGATTTTTCACACGTTGCATGTGTGCACATAACTGACTTTTTTTGTATATTAATTGTGGAATGATCATTAAACTGAATAATCCAATCATATTGCATTCACAATTTTTCCTCTTTTATATTGTCGTAGCAGTAAAACATAGAGCATACTAAAGAAATACCTCCCGTTGACTTATGGGCTAGCCCATTAAAAAGAAAAGTGATACGGTTAGGCGCACGACCATACAGTGATAAAAGTCAAACTTGAAAGAGGGCGCCACGATTAACATGCTTAGTGCTTAGCGTGGAAAGGCTAGTTAGTTTTTTCAAGTTACCTAGGAGCTATACCATTATAGTGGATAAACAGGTACCGTTTGCTCTAAGTGAATAGGATTCTATCGTTGTAAAGTGACGAGGCAGTAGTGAGGAGATGTAAGATATCTGCAAATACAAACGTTGCTCTCTGAATCTTGTAGTGATCATTTCATTTATTGAATATATGTAATGATGAGTCTTCAAATTTGAGATTAATTAAATGCAAATATGATTATTCATTAGAAAGTTAAAATATTCTTGCGTTAAATGATGTCATGACTAAATCTGTGCGTCGCGGATGACTAATTAGGATATTTTGTGCCGCTTTGTACCATTTATTGTACTATGTTACATCGAACAACAACAAGAAAGAGGAATGACCGATGCTAAAAATACAAACTGGTTTTATCCTCCGCCGATAGAAAAAGTTTTAGAATAAGAAAGTCATGAGAAATTAGAAAATCTTTTAAGGTCCCTCCCCCCCAGAAATGGTGATTTTCGGTCAAAAAATCCGTTTTGAGATACGCACATGGAAAGATAGCCTGAAGTGTCTACCTTCAGAATCTGTATTGCTTTTGGTTACAAAACTGGTTTTTCGAGGATTTCGAGCAAGTTTTCTAAGAGCCTCGAAAAAACGGGTCGTCAAATAGCAGTTTTTTCCTGGATACTTATGCAATTAAAATTTTTCTGAGCACACAGATTTGTAGAACAAACGTTTCTGATCAAAATAAGACCTCGCACAACTCTGTTTGACCTTGCATCAAAAAGTTACAGGCATTTTCCTAGAATTTCTAAAACTGAGGATTTTATACAGCGTTTTTTCTACATGGAAGTTATACCTGAAGTGTGTCCCATGATTTTTAATAGTGGTTTGTCTTAGAGAATTCATGCTTTTTTTGTTTAAAAGAGGAAAAGAAACTACATGGACTGACAAGCGTCGATTTTTGAATTAGGTCCTAGTTTTTTGTCAAATAGAGGATTTTTAGAAAATCCGGAAGACTTTTTTGGATTTGAAGGTTGTTGATAACTTGGAAAACCAATAAAGGCTTAATTGAAAAATCGGCTCCTGTCAGTCCATGCAGTTAGATGTCTAGTTTAAAATAAAACAAACCCGAACTCTCCAGCTTGAAGTATATTAAAAAGTCTTGGGACACACGTCAGAGTCCTTTTTGAACCTTGATCTCTGGAAAACTCCTGAACCGTAAGATTTGGAGACAAAAAATTTTTTCATCCCCGTAACTCATTGTGCCTACCATTTCTGGAAAGTTTCGTCAAGATCGGACGTATGGTTTTGGAGATAATTTCTGAGCGGGGGCCTCAAGGGGACTACGCCCTCGCTGATTTTCCCACCGGTGCACCGGTCTAGTTATGACTCTGAAAATGAACTGACTACAATAAGATAACTTCAATAACCCGGTAGTTTGATCTGAGAATCAACATTGCCACAATCTAAAGTCTGAAAGAACAGGAGTCTCCGGCAGAGTTCTACTACATCTGAGCTGTGATAGATGGAGATTTAAGACTTGCATAGAAATGGATTACCCATTTTCATTCATGATAAAATATCGTTTTCCTTTGCCTTTTACTATCCAGAAATCGAATGTCTTTTGGTCCGTTTACAAATTAAATCATTAGTTGTGTTTTTGTGCTTCAGCTACCGAAAGCCACATAGATGTGGTAAAAGGATATTTTGACAAATGGTCAGACTTTTGAAAAATATATCGAGTAGAAATTTTCAGCGTATTTTGGCGGGCAATTTTAATTCAGACTCAAAAGGAGAGAAAATTTTGTTCAGAGAGCTGTGAAAGTTAGCTGAGTTGTTTTAAATAATACCTTCTACACAAGAACCAAGTACCATAAAAAGTACTCGTTTAGATTATATTTCTATCAGACTGCCGACGATTGGAGCACCTTACCAGAAACAGTTGTTGTGGTGTTCTCCAGATCAGTTCAGAGCGAAGCTGAAAAATCATTTGCAAATTTATGGCGTTTTCTATGGATTTGTTTTCTGTTTCTGTACTCTGTTCTAAAAGAGTGTATGTGGGCAAAGCCAGTGTTGCGGACATGACTAAACTTTGAGTCACTGTATATCTGAAGTGTTAAACCTTCTAGTGATGCTATTTCGTGAGAAAAAAATCATTGCTGTTACATTCTTGTCACCTGTAAGACTTCTGCTTAGTAGAAATGAGACATAAGGATTTCCACATGGTAACTAAATACTAGTTTTTCAACTATGTCTCCAGAAGATCTCTAGAAAACCTTTTTTTGACATGGTAGTTGAATGTCTCTGATTTTGCTGAAACTTTTACAGCGGATGCGCATTAGTAATAGAAACATTCTCTGGAATTCTTAAGAGCAAAGAAACTAGTTCCAAGCTGCTATTCGCAAATTAGTTTCTAATTAATTAACTAATTAATAATTTGCTTTAATTAATTATAGCGTTAAAGAGCAAAGTCTTCTTCATATATTCAAATAATAAAGAGTTATCCCCCAAAATAAGAATAGGGAAAAATTCAAGTTGAACAAACGGTAGTCATGTCCAGTTTTGGCTAATTTTGCCCATATATAGGTATAAGCGTGTAGTCTTTCTCTTGTGGTGTTACCCTAGGTGGGAATGTGTAAAAGTACAAGGTTTTCGCTTTTTCTATTTTCCAACAGCAGCTTTTCCTTCTTTCTTTTTTGTAAAGTTAGCTTTGTTTGTAAAATAAAATCAAGTTCAGTTCAAGTTCAAGAGTCTGTTGGTTCGAACCAGTCTACGAGAGTTAAAAAGTCGATCTTTTTTCCTATTCTGATGACCTAATAGATTTTGCCTGGTAAAGTATGCTATGATAAACTGTAAACTCTAACTCCGTGTTTTCATAGATACATGTGTTAAAGGGGCCTCGAAAGAATAATTCGTGGCATCCTATTGTGAAATGAACAGTAGCAGTTATACACATAACGTTTTACCACATAAATTTTCGGTATTAGATGTTTTCAACCTTGAAATGAGACAACAAATTTAAAACTTATTCTTTGATATAATCGATATAATAATAAGTTTTATTTAGCTATGAGCGAAGGTTTGTGTAGGATACTAAACTACAGGAAATTGAACAAAGTTTATGAACCATGTATCTTTTATTTAACTATTTCGAAATAGAAGAATATCTGTAGGTCCAATAGCTAAATTGATAAAATGGTCTTGAGCATGGCTGATATATGAACCAAAATTCCGACCAACAATACAACTCCAGTTGTTTGGACTATATTTCTGATCAAAATGACGTTTGATATGTTCAGCGACATCACGTTCGCTTTTACCCCGTCCTAATGCTTCGCGTGCAACTTCAACAGCATCTTGTTCCATACGAGAATTCATTTCCGATAATTTGATACGAGATGATGACAACGAAGCAGACATCGCTTGAGGCTAGAACATAATTTAAAAAGAATTATTCATAAACTGAGAATATAGTTTTTGACCGAATACTAGTGTGTATTGTGAGACTGCGTTTTTAAAACAACTTTTCAAACTTTTTCAAACCTTCAAACTTTTTGAAAGAGGCTATAAGATGCACTTTCTAGTGCTCGCCATCCAAATATTTTATCGTGATTGCTATTTATTCGCCGTTCCCCTCCACTGTGTCACACTATTCTTACGTCGATGAATGCATTTATAAATCAAACGTTTATAACTAATTAGTTATAAATCCATTTATAACTGTTTGGACTTACAGAGAATACTTTTAAATTCTTCAGTAAACGCAACGTCGCTTTAAAACTTAACAAAACTGGTCTTATCCCGAGCCATAGCGCGACTACGCGTTTCGAGTGCTTATAGACTTGACTTAATAGAAAAAATCTTGCAAAAGTCAGTATAATTATCATTAAAGGAGGCGAATCTATTACATCTTAACATACATTGACAGAGGACAGAGGACAGCACAAGAATACATATATAGAAACGATACACGAGGACAACATAAAAAAGCGAGTGTGATGACATCAATAGGAGTGTATTACAAAAATGTACCTCTAGATTGGGTAAGAAATATTCATTATTTTTAATGAGTCTGAAAGAACAACAAAAAACTTATCATTCAACTGCAAAATAAACATACTTATAGGGATACTCGAGGAATGATTGTTAAATTAGTTTGTAAATACTGTTACCCGTTACAGAAAAAAAAATAGTAATCGGTTGTGGATACGAAAATAAATAAATAATCAGTAGTAATATTCGCTATTTTTTGTTCACACATGAACGATTTTACCACTAATAAATCTATCCTTATAACCACAACTACATGAAAGCAAAAAAATGAGTAATTTCGCAAAGCAATTGTTCTATAATGTAAAACCTGCTTTAGACTTCATATTTTTTTGCCCCAACAACTGAATAGTTGATTGTCCCAGCTACCAAAAGAGTTAAAGGTTACGGTTCAGAGAATCATATGTGCTTGTACCATTATATGCATTATTATTTAATAACAATCACACATGAACAAAAGCGCGGTCAACAACTTTTGGCAATGTTTAATACCTCATGTATAAAATACTTATAAAAAGTTAAATCCTAATCAGCCTCACGTTTGAGTTGGAATTATATCCTAAAAAGTTTGCACAGCATACATTGGTTGGATTATTAGGTCTTTAGTCTGCTTAAACATGAATAATTTACTCGAAAACAAAGTTTTTCATGAAGACAGATTATTAGAATTCGAGGGTTATAACGAAAATTTCAGGTTTTCAGGCTGTTGATCATACTGAAACCTTCGGAGAAAAGATACATGAAAAGCATGCGTGAAAAGGTGCAAAGTTATAACATACTATATAACTGTATTACACTTCGTGTGTTATCACATCCGCAGGCACTTCCTACTTGAAATTCAGAGGCCTTATTCAACTGAATCAAGATGTAATTTGGTGATTCACAAAATTCTCGAACAAACTACCGTTCTCCTTATCACATGCTCAACATAAACAAATATCCTTTCTTTGAAGAAATATTATTAGGTTGCTCACTCTCGTATCTTGTGCTCATCCCTGCCGCTCTCATCGATAGATGTTATGAAAGCTTTCTTGCTTACAGAAACAGGGGTTTAAGACATACACTACATATTGGAACGTAGTATTATTTTTGACATATGGTTCACCATTGCAATATAAACTTTATACCTTGTATCCTCTATCTTAGATCCCTTTTACGGAAGAATACGTGTTCGCAAAATAATTGTGATACGAACTAATGTTACACATTAAGGACTCTAATAATAAAGTACTATATTTTACGAGAGTGTTCATCTATTAGAAAAAATGATATAATGCAACATAATAAGCGGAAAAGATCTTACTATTATTTGAAGATACAGGTTCGACCAAGCTTTTAATTGCTTTAATACTATAATCAATTGACAGAGACGAAGACGAATCTGTAAAGAAAATGTCTTACCTCACTAAGAGTATCAGTGGAACATTAAGATTTCTTCACATTCACCTTGGGATGCATTAAGTAACGAAAATGAGGAGGCAATTATTGATGACGTATTCGAGGCAGACGATTTTAAAGCATGAACAACAGGTGTAGTAGTTATTAACGAACTATTGGTTTGATCAATTAGTAAAGCATCCATTGATAATGAAAATGGAAGAGGCTGACGATATGGACGATATTCGGTTTCAGCACCACCCGCCGTTGAAATATGAACGTTTTTCTACTGAATGAGTTCTAAATGTCATTCTTATGAATAACTTAAAGCAGAAGACTAAATTTCGACATTACGACATCACTTTGCAAAGAAAGGGCATGTAGAGCTGGGAGTCGTCTCATTTTAATCAGACATGTGCGAGCTACAATCGTGATTCATTAAGAAAAGTTTTTACTAATTTTTAGAGTTTTGAAAAACTGGTTTTCCAGAAAACGGGTACTTTATTTGTTGAGGAACTGGCCCCTCTTTGTACCCGCAGTAGCACAAGCGACGTGTATTTTTGCACTAATCAAGTGCATTAGATTGTATGCGAGTTTATTAGTGATAATAGCATAGATTGTAGCAAACGTATTTTCTAGTGCAAGTGGGTCAAACGGAAGAAAGAATGAGTAGAATGCGCGGTCAATTCCACCGTGTGACTGACTATTTTGCAGATTTTATCATTAATGCGACTTTGTATGAAAGTAAATTGCAAAGGACGTTAAATGCATCTAGATGGTTGTAAAGAATCACCAAGATATCGCCTGCTCCATTGTGACAAATACTAATATAGCTAGACCAAGATGAAACAGCGTACTTCTTGCTACTTCTTCGTACTTTCTGGTACTTCTCCGTACTTTTGCTCCTTTTCTACTTTGATATGGTCTTTACTCACTATGAAATATGGTGTTCTAGCACCAATGTTTAATAATTATGCCTAAATCATGCCATGTACTTATTGATGCTTCTCCGTCCTTGGACGTACTTCTCCGTACTTCTGAAGTAGGAAGTACGCTGTTTCCCACTTGATCTAGACACATCTATCTAGGTCAAATCTTTTCCCTAGATTCTCTTAATCGATCCAGAAAGAGCATCTGGAGTTTTCCACGATGCAATTTCTGTTTCAGTTGAATGGTACGTTGATTTTTCGGCATATGATAGTATAAATGCGCAACAGACCATGCATGAAGCAATTTCCAACCTTCAGGAGCGTGATACTGCTAAGTTTGTCGACAATTTAAGTGAAGCAAGAAAAAGAGTTGTTGAAAAATTAATACTAGCTCAAAATAGTCAGTGTTTGGAAGATTTAATTATTAAACAATTAGGATACATTTTATTTGAGAGTGAACGAAGATCTTAAAACAAATCGAAATCGTGGTCCGATGAATTACATTATATCAATTTGTAAAAGAGTCTTAATGAGTACCGAATATAATAACAGACATACAAAATACAAAATACGAAAAAAAAGAATAAGAGTTTGAAAACTGGTACAAAGACATATGATTAAAGAAAACAAATTTATAAAACACGTTGAAGAGTAGAGCAGTAGTTGTGGTGATCAAATGACCTAGCGGGTGAGAGACAAACACACCTTCCAAAGAATGTACACAGATTTAATGGAAAAGGAATGTATCAGCTTCAGTATCAAAGCAACTGCTCAAGGCTGTTAAAAACTTCTAGTACTCTTGACTGGAACATCATTCGGAGCTGGGAGATATCTCATTTTGATCAGAAATGTTTCCTCTATTTTCCTATGTACTAAAAGTAATTTTCGATTTGCGTTTTAATGGGAAAATAAAACATTTTTGAAACGCCAGTTTTTCAAGGTTTTCAAAAAACTTTTCTAAAAACCTCCATACCCCTTCGATGATACTGTGGGATATTAAAGCCAAATTTCTATTTTATATTTCAAATATTTAAATTTAAATTCAAACATACAGGGAAGCGAGGCGCATTTTAGAATATTTGTTACAAATGCACTGAATGTAGCTGAAAAAGTCGTGACACGACATTACCGCGAACGACATTACCGCGAACGACATTACCGCGAACGACATTACCGCGAACGACATTACCGCGAACGACATTACCGCGAACGACATT